TGCAAACGAGGTACGTGGAAGGGTCGAAAAGTATGGCGTCGAGAGAGAAGAGATGTTTGGATTCCCCGAGTTCTGGAGATGAAGGACCTGATAGGAAACGTCCAGCTCTTGCTAGGTGTATTTTTCTCTCTTTATTCTACTCTCTACATCATATATATACGTACAATATGTGTATACATTATATGTTTGTGTATATGTCTCTGTGTGTATACATATCACTTCAACAATATTATGCCAACAAGATGAACTGTGGCATGGATGTTGGTGCAGTTGGACTCGTACTGATGACCCCAGCACGAGTCTGCACGACAGGACTCAGGAAGATGATGAGTCAGCTGACGGGTCATGACTCAGAAGACTGAAAAAAGAAAAACCCTTTTTTACTGGCTCTTCAGTAGTCTTATATGTACAGATCCCATGATATCGACTACTGATAGACATGCATGATGAATACTTTTTGACCCGAGAAGTTTGTTTTTCTCGTGTTAACGTTAAAGCTTTGAATGTTGGTGTGTGCAGTGTGATTGTTGAAGCTTTAAAGGTGGATAGTCTGCAGAAACTGTGTTCATCATTGGAGCCAATTCTTCGTAGAGTTGTAAGATTCTGATTTTTTTTTATTTGAAGCTCTTTACTTAGTTCATTTTCTCATTTCAAGGGTATTATCGTTACCTGTACTGTTTAGACTCTTTATTATCGTAATATTTATATTTGAAACTTGAATTTGAATTCAATAACATAAGTTATTATGGTCTATATAAACTCATAAACGCTCTTCTGGTCTCTGCAATATGACACACAGGTCAGTGAAGAAGTGGAACGTGCTCTAGCAAAACTAAGCCCTGCCAAGCTTAATCCTAAGTATGAACTTCACTTTTACCATTGCTTTAAAATATTGTTTCTTTAACGTAATAATATGATCTATCATGACAAAATCTTAAATTTAAGCAAACTGAAAGGATCAAAACTGTAATTTGACCTTTGGATTTTTTTTTCTAAATTTTTTTCATTGTTGTTATTATAACACTAACGCCAGCATGCAGGCCTTCTTCTTCCCCTAAACGGATAAAAGGCCATGATGGGAGAAATCTGCAGCTGCAATTTAAATCAAGGTTGTCCCTCCCTCTATTTACAGGAGGGAAAGTGGAAGGAGAACAAGGTGGTGCTATCCACGTTGTCTTGATTGATGCAAACACCGGCCATGTTGTCACTTGTGGACCAGAGTCCTCGGCCAAACTCGATGTCGTCGTCCTCGAGGGCGATTTCAACAACGAAGACGACGATAACTGGACTCAAGAAGAATTCGACAGCCATGTCGTGAAGGAGCGTGAAGGGAAAAGGCCGCTACTAACCGGTGATCTGCAGGTATGATATTAGACTATCGAGTCTTTCTTGTGTATGATTTATTCTATGTCGATCTTGTATTAATTATATTTTTCCGATTACAAATTCTAACAGGTGATTCTGAAGGATGGTATGGGAACACTGGGAGAGTTTACTTTCACCGATAACTCGAGCTGGATAAGGAGCAGGAAATTCAGACTCGGGCTAAAGGTTGCTTCGGATTCTTGCGAAGGCATCCGTGTTCGCGAAGCGAAAACGGACGCCTTCACAGTCAAGGACCACCGAGGAGAATGTAAGTTCTTTGAAGTTATTTGATGATGATAATAGGCTTAACTTTTGGTTACTTGAGAGCCACTGAATCATTTGCCCTTTTTAGTATACAAGAAACATTATCCACCAGCACTACATGATGAAGTGTGGAGATTGGAGAAGATCGGCAAAGATGGGTCATTTCACAAGAGGCTTAACAAAGCTGGGATTTTCACAGTTGAAGATTTTCTAAGACTTGTGGTTAGGGATTCACAGAGACTGAGAAATGTAAGAATTTCGATTCTACCTCTAGTCCTTACAGTATACGTAAATTGTAAATTTAGTCATTGTACTCTAACCCGAAGGGTCAAATGTTACTATTTGGATTAGGATCGAATCGAAATTATGTTTTGTTCTTTCTATGGCATGTATATGTGTTTTTTTTACACATTTCTTGTAGATTCTTGGGAGTGGAATGTCTAACAAGATGTGGGATGTTTTGTTGGAGCATGCAAGGACTTGTGTTCTAAGTGGGAAACTCTTTGTTTATTACCCTGATTGTGTGAGGAATGTTGGCATAGTGTTCAACAATATCCATGAGTTGAGTGGCCTAATTGCAAATGGACAATACTATGCAGCCGATTCGCTTTCGGACAATCAGAAGGTAAAAAGAACTTTAACTCGATCCGCTTAACCCGAACACGAATTCAATCCATCCCCAATTCAGTTATAAAAAGTCGACAACCGAAACTCAGATTGACCCAAACTTCCAATGGTTATGCTTCTGCAGGTTTATGTGGATGCCTTGGTAAAGAAGGCTTATGAAAATTGGATGCATGTTATTGAGTATGATGGTAAATCTCTACAAGGCAGTAACGAAGACGATAATGGAGGTGCTTCACAAGATAATGTTCCGATGGATCTGCAAGGTTATCCGAGTTCAATTGAACAGCACCAGGTTCCCCCGAGCCTGTCGGTTCCAGTTCCTTCGGAGTATCCTCCCATAGATTCCGGTCTAAATGTCGGAGGTATGATTATGTCCAAATTGATAACATCGTTCATTAAAGTGATAATGTGCATTTCTTTTACTGTGTTTATCTCTTTAGATTATGAAGCTCCCATGGTACATCTCAATGCCCAGACTCAGTTAAATGATAATGAGCTAGCTCATGGTCCATCTCAGTCATCCATGCCGAGTTTCCACGGAGTCGCCACGTCTAACATTCCGACATACAAGCCACCGGCTCTAGATGATTTCTTGTCGGAGGAGGAGATCGGAATGAGAAGTAACGAGATGGTCGAAAATGAGGAAATGCAGCATCTGCTACGTATCTTTAACTTGGGAAACCCTGGCCATGCTACATTCAATCCGTCTGAAGATGGTTATCCTTATGCATCGACACACATGCCGAACTCATATGTGAATTACGGTTTCAACAGCGATGCTTCGAGTTCGTCGGGGAAAGCCGTGGTGGGGTGGCTGAAGCTCAAAGCAGCCCTTAGATGGGGCATTTTCACTCGGCAAAAGGTGGCCGAAAGGCGGGCGCACCTCGTCGAGTTGGATGATCCGTAGGCAAAGCTGGTTGGATATGATGTTAGAATCATGCTTCAGTTCCTCGCATCTCAGGTCCGAGAATGCACGAAAACTCGTTCGTTCAAGCTCGATTCATTTTTATGGTTAGGAGTCATCGTAACAAAACTGCCACAACATTTCTCGGTACAGTAATCACCACCATAGCTAGTGTTTTTAGGTGGCGTCTTAGCAGAGGAGACGTGAAATGTAGTAATAGATGTATTTCTATTCCGTTTAAATGTAACATAAAAAAGTGCCGTATTCTGGAGAAGGTCCTTGTACTATATATTTTTATGGATTTAGTCCCTTTATTGAAGCATTTATTTTCCATCTTAAGACCAATTTTCTGACACATCATCGTGGTGTTATCAAATTATTTGATAAAATTAATCCAAAAAGTTAAAAGATTAAATAATAATAGAGGTACCAAATCCTGTGAAAACACATAATATAGGGACGTTCATTACAATTTGCCCTTAAAAAGTAAACGATAAAGTAATTATTAGTCCTTAAATTTAGTAACTTTTTTCAATTTAGTCCTTAAACTTAAAACTTTTATCATTTTGATGATGTGGTCTTTTGAATTGTCATGTGTCACAATGTTAGATTGACACCACTGAAATGACAAAAAATGAGAAGCGCTACCGAGTTTAGGGACTAAAATGGACATACAATAATTCATTGCCCAAATTACAAAGTATGGCATAAACATATTGGAGATGTGTTTTAATTTTAGGGTAGAACGTTTTCTCGGTGTTATAATAATGGCACATGGGAGGAATCTGATTGAATTGTCAGTTTCAGGGGCTTGCAAAAGAAATAATGTATTTTATGTATGTGCAATGCATTATTATCATATATGCTGGATATCATATCAGATCGTATGGTCCCTGCACGAATATATTAGGATCTGCCAGTTTCTCTGTTCCATTCCTCGCTCTCTGCTTTTTCCATTAAATAACACTGGAGGAGAGAACGACTCTCCTTGTCCTGTGGGTTGAACCCTGCCAAATCCAACATGTGGATTACATAACTTCACGTTCTTCCTAAAATATCCTCCGTCTTCCTTTACATTAGAGGAGGATAATGACTTGTCTAAATATCCTCTATTTTTTCTTAAAAATCATCCTTAATGTTACATTTTATTTCTATCCTATGTTTTGATTATTAAATTATTTTTTTCTTAAAATCATACTTAATATTATATTTTATTTCTATTTTAATATCTTATCATTAAATTTGACCATTTACTTAACAAAAATGATAATGTAATATTATATAATAATAATTTTAGTCCCAAAACTTGCACATTCTATTAAATTTATCACAATTCTAAACAATTCAATAAATCCTCGATATTTAAAAAAATATTATTAAATCATATCAAATTAAAATGAGAACCGAACTAATAAGATTTTTAAATATTAAAGATTTATTAAATTATATCCAATTAAGATCAATTCGATAGAATATATAAATTTTGAGACTAAAACTATTATTACACCGTGTCACATCACAATTTCTATTTAGTCAATAATCAAACTTAACAACATGATAACAAAATAAAACAAAACGTAACATTAAGAATGATTTTGGAAAAAAAAACAATTAGGTGATCAAAACAAAAATATAAATTTTAATCTTTAAATATATTAATAAATACATTACTCCGACTCGACATCATAGAGAGATTAAATTGATTAAAAAAATTACATGCATAATACATATAATGATATTGATAAAATCTACAGTTAAACTATTAAAATATCCTTTTACACTGCTATAAATACATCCCTCCCTTAAATGAGTTTTACACCCTAATCTGAAAATCAACATAATATAGTTTAACAAACAATACAACAGTTAGAGAGGGACCGGTCATTCAGTATCTGAAACATCATCTTCATCTTCATCCAGTATGTAGACCAAGGCACGCTTCCTTGCAGCAAAAACACAAGCTACACCTCTCGATGCTGTTACAGTAAATTCGAATATAAAAGACGAGAAGATACGAGCAGGATATATATATATGATATAGTACAATCCAACCGGGTTGAGATATAGGACGGTAGTAGGATGTGTTAATTCGAAAACTTACCACTAACTGCCAGAGGAGCAACTACGGAGTGTGAGATATTTCGAACCTTTTCATTCTCCAGTTGTAGGTGCATAATCGAGTCCTATACATGCACATAGATATAGTTTCCGACAAGTACTTCAGCATCGGAACTTAAACTAAAATCGATATGCTCTAGCATAAATGACAAGAACAACGGTTGTTATCGATGAAAGAGACGGTGATGAATACGAGATAATGAAGAAGGTAAGTAGGGTAAAGTTTTTTAGTTCATAAAGTTAAGACTGAGGTTATCAAAACATGTAAAGGCTACAAATCTATCTGAGTTCGCAATGTTATTGAATTCATTTGAATAGTCGGGTAACTAATAACCGAGTTCGCATGCATGTAAAAATATGTAGTAATTTCATAGTGATATCGAGCAGCAGAAACAATCGAATTGCAGGTCGTACAAAGTGTGGTACAATCTGCCAAAATAAACAATTTACCTTTAGCTGATCTAGGTTCCAGGTGTTTACACAACTGGATCTTGGAATGGACACAAATGGGAGTTCATTAGCTTGGACGATCATCATACAAGATTCTCCAGAGCTTTCGGAAGCATCAGCAGTTTCATTCAATAGCAAAACGATTTGACCATCCTGTAATTGGAAATTTAATTAAAAAAGGGGAATCAAGTTAGAAACATCCCAAAAAGACTCGTGATAAAAACGCGAAGGTTGAATAATTGAAAAAGATAGTTTAACAGGAAAAACGAATTTCAGTGACAGAGAGAGGTTCTAAACTAAAAGGTAATTTTCACCTTATATAACGCTAGATCCACACAGTGATAACCATCAGGAACCGACAACAAAATAGCTTCCAAAGACGCAGATTCCTCAATACGATTGCTCAAACTATGCATGAATCCTCTTGATATACCTATACAATTAATGATATTTGAGGAAGAGTCACCATGGATTTGGAAAGAAATATAATCGATAAACCCGTGTTCAGGAGTCTGATAAGATGAGATAGCAGTGGAGGCACCCTACAGAGAAAAAGAGAAAACGTCACAATGCGGACGAATAAGTATTCCAAAAGATATGAAAACCAGACTGGTACCGACATTAAGGATAACAATATGAAATGTATAGCATTTGCAACATATATAGAAAACAATAAATGTACGACCACAATTAGAGATTCTAAGAGGACAAAAGGGCGGGCAGAGAATACCTTGTAGTACGTTACAGACATGGGGATCATGAAAGATACAGATGCAGGTGAAGATGGTAGAGCAAACAGTGGTAGCACATCCTTACAAACCATCTTCCTTGAAATTGTAGTAAAAGGCATCAGGAAAGCCTCCTTGAAACTGAAATTGCACAACCATTGATAATGCAAATTACAGTTTGAAGTATAATCAAAACTCAAAAGGCAATACATATGGAATGAAGATGGAAGGATAAATTAATGCATGCCTCTAACAATGATAAAATCTCTGAACAATTGAAGACATCGACCATGGAAAGCAAAAGGAAAGGATACCTAGACTCCATCTGTTTAAATTCTTCAGCTAATGTCCTCCTTAGATATTCACAATCAGAAAATCCTCCAAAATGAACCAATTCTCTAACTCTTTGCACTGCTTCCCTGGAGGATAGAAAGCAGCAAAATCTTTTATGGATAAACAATGACACTGATGCATAAAAAAAATCTATCAGATAAATAGTAATTTAACAGAGGTGCATGCCAGATGTAGATACAGTTAAATTCACACTAACACTCGTTGAAGGAGAATTATTCTCTGTAGGCAGCTTGAAAAGTACAAAATTAAAGTTATTTTTTGATAAGAAAATTAAAGTTATTTTTTTTCATGTTAAAGCCTAAATCAGCGGATTCGGCATCATTACAATTGTATCTATAAAAGGAGTCTTTTTTCCCTGTAGGTAAAGGTGTGTGTTCTGACACTATAGTTTGTGAACAGATAGATGCATGATATATGAATAGTCACGCTCTGTGACACATTATGTGTATGCTTAATCAACAAGCAATATGCATTAATCTTGTTTGATGACAGACCAAAGTAACATAAATTGAAATGCACCATTAGACCCTATGATGGTTGACAAGATAACTTACATTTCAGTTTCGATATCAACTTCAGACAGCTCCAGAAAGGGCTTGACAGGATCTTGATCATATAAGAACTTCAAGAATATAACAAGAAGTTCGCTGTCAAAAGCAAAATGTGAGGCTACAAAATTAAAGATAACCAAGAGTGGCAAATAGAAAGATATTGGAGAAACAAACCTGTTATAGGGTAGAAGCTGATCACTTGGCTCTTGCATAAGTAGCTTTATGCACTTTAGCAACCAATTAAAGAAGTTTGAAAACTGAAACAAAGACTGATATAAGAACTCAAACAGAGGAGACGAAAGAAAATAGACCATTTTCATTCCGTTCAGTGTGTGGCAGGTGAGGGGATTGAGAATGAAGGAAGAAAGACCAAAAGAACTTCAAATATTAAGGTTTACCACCTGCTGTACCACAGAGGAAAGCACCCTCATAAATCTCTCAACTTGTGCTAGTAATATTCCAGATTTTTCTGTTGCATTATTGATAAGAGTCTCGTCGAGGCCAATACCCTGAAAACGAGTGCGCCATCTAGAAAGACCTCTAAGTTCTCCCATCCTGAAACAAATAATTTCTGCAGCAGGCTGGAAAATGTATATTTATTTTCAGCTGGATCACATCAGGATAAGCACTCAGAGTAGAACATTTTTTTTTTGAAAAGTAAATGGGGCCTCATTGTAAAATAGATCATCACAGTGAAACATAGTATATACACAGTACAACAAAATGCTACACTCATGGTTTAGTAAAGGTACATGTACAACAAGGGGACATTATGTTTAGCGAAATATTTTTTAACAAATCCGTGCCCTAAAGAGTGACCATCTAAACTAATAGTAATTCAACAAAATCACTAATATTCATTAAATTAGGAATGTAGACAGCAAAACCCCTGAATTAAGCATTTAATCAGAGGGGCTATAAACAAATAGTTTGGGCAAAAAAATGGTAGCTAGAAATAAGAATTCATATGCAAATAACAATGCCACACTCTTAGTTGAAAGCTTGACTTTCATTTATGCACCTCATGAAATCCACCTAATAACAATAATATGTTCCATGTTATGATTTAAAATTAGCAAGTAAAAGATTCTTCTGCAAAGTAAATATTGTGTGAACTGCAGAGAAAAGTTCAACCAAGCACCTGAAGATGATCAAGGACAACATGCTGTAGCTCTTTTCCAGCACCACAAACGACCTTTGACACACGCTTAACTCCCTATTAGTAAGAAATCCATTGTATAAATTTTGCAAGCTAATTTCCTTAGGAGAAGGAGAGAAATGATCAGATAATGCATAGTTACCAATTCACCCAGAGAGTTAACTAGAAACTGATGAACTGGCGGACTAGTCCGGGCACCACCTAGGAGGCTCAGAAACTCCTCTTGGGGTGATGAGTCCAGCCCTACATGCATGTGATAGAAAAAAAACATATGGATATGCGGCAGAAATGGAAAATTAAAATTTTTAGTACTCCAATCAGAAAGTTACCATGGTCAATTATTAACCTAGACAGAGAATCAAACTTCTCATGAAAAGTGTGCATGGCATCTTTCCACTGCTTAGACATTACTGATAATGATGTGCGAATAACTTCAATTAAATCCTCAATGTTAGAAGCTTGTTGGGCAACTTGATGGAGTTCATTTTTCCTTCAATAAGAAAGCAGGTCATGAAAAGGATCAAGGAATAAAGAATGTTCATGATTTATCAAATTCAGATAAAAGACTGGTGACTGTTAAAACTGTGAGCAAATACTACTAAATTCCATTGAAAATAGCTTAACTGAAGATAATCTATCTCTGCAAAACGTGATACCTACAAATATACAAATATACAAACAAACTGCAGGTATTCCCAGGTTCTCCAGAAGTTACCTCTTCCAAAAGATAGAAGTATCAAGCAGTAAGCAATGAAAACCATGCATATCCAGCTGTCTCTCAGCTGATTCAACCTCATCATGATTAAGTTCTCCAGAACACATTACTATCAGATGACAAAGGTCTTTTGACAATGCAACCTAATAAAAAAATAGGAATGCCAGATAAGTCTACTACATCTTGACCTGTAAACAAAGCACCAAGCACTGAAATAAACTGAATAGGTTTTACTTTCGTATGGGAAATATTCTTTTACTATAAGTTAGAATGAATTACCCAGTTGCATGATCTTTCAACCAGAAAACCACTTCCTTACAAGTTGTCCAGTTTATAGGCATAAAAGAATAGTAAAAAAAGAGAGTAAAGTCTAAGATGTGCATACCTTGGAAATTGAAGCATTTGAAAGTCTGTATGTAGTTGGCTCAGTTGCAAAGGGAATAGGAATAGACAAATTGTGTATGTTCTGGTAAATAATTTCAAGTACAAAATAGTTCAGATTAGAAGAAACAAATAGAGGTGATTATGTTCTGCGTTAAATGTAAAGATAAGCAAAATATAATTTGTGCATGAAAAAATATGTCTATCTCTGAACCATGAATAATAATCCAGGATGCCTAGTATTTTAGGAGAGAAATACAAGTGATTTTGCAATGTCCATGAAAATATAAGTAAAATGACAGAAGGGTATCAATTTGATGTATCAAAGCCATAAAATAAACTCCTGTCAATAATGTAAATCAGCTAATCAATACAATCCAGAAAGTAATTTTCAAGATCGAAAAGTAGCTTACTATTTTCCCTATCGGAAATATTCCAAATATACTAAAGCATATGCTTCCATCTTTGTCACCGCTACATAAAATGTTAAACCGTTGGTATGAGGAATTTGAAAGCTCACGGAATGAATCTTCACTATCATCCATGAAGCCGGTATCCCCGGGTACCAATCCAGGCATCCGAGGAACTCTTGGAGCAGGAGGGAAGAAACGAGAAGTTCGGTCCTCATATGTTGAATTGTTAACAGAATCATCCTATCACAAAAGCCGTTTGAGACTTATCAGGAAGTTAAAATGTCAAATATTTCTATGAACCCAAAGAAAGATAAAAAACTTGACAGATGAAGAAAAGTTTATCTTGTGCAAGATATTTAAAAGTCGTGATTTTAAAATATAATTAGATATTTCAACCCAGAAGACAAAGACATACTTTAATCACTTGTCCATCCTCCTCCCAGTTAAGGGACACGACAGCAACAATATGAGACTTTAAGCTTCTCAACAGCTTTCCATTCTGCAAGAGATACAAAATATCAGTTAGATGAACAGATTTTGTTGTATAACCATGTGTAACAACAATCTAACCTCAAGAAGATGCCAAACATAGATGAGAATTAAGAACAAATTTGATGATTATGATTATCCCCAATGAAGAGGGAGAAACCAAAACAAGCAAGAGAACCTAAAATTTGACTAAATAATTTAAAGACAAACTCACTTCAACATCATGCAATGAAATTGTGCCATCCTCGAGCCCGACTGCTATTGCTTTACCATCCGGACACCAACATAAGGATGTAATGCACCTTCCTGTAAAGCAACAAATCAATAAATATAATTATAGAAACAAACGAAGCACTTGAGTCAAATACAAAAGATTATAAAAAATAAAACAAATATTGATTTTAAAAAATAATTTCCATGAATTACCAGGAAAAATTGTCCAGAGTCTTTGCCAGTTGAAGCGATGCAGCAAAATCTTGGAGTCCTCAGTAACCATAGCCAGCAAATCTTTCTCCGGATTCCATTCCGCAAATTTAATCTAATCAACAAAAAGTAATTGGAAAAGAAAAATAAGGACACGCGTAATCATGGATATTTAGATAAGATCGAATTAAAAAATTTAAAAAAGAGAGACGAAAATGAAATAGTAAAAAGTGATGGAAATAAACCTGAGAGGCAACTGGTTTGTCGAATTGAAGTTGAAAGGGAAGCACGCGTGGCGGTTCATCGGTTTCCATTGCTTAAAAAACAATCTTAAGGCAGCTTTTCCGATTAAATTTTCTCCAGTGGGTTTAGGATCACTACGAAGAAGACACTAACAATGAGAAAAAAGCGGCTTGGGGTTTAAGGGTTTTTAGTTGATTTTGTTTAGGGAGGGAAAAAAGAGAAAATAAAGAAGAAATAGCTTAAAAAGTTCAAAAATAAAATAGCGACGTTGCGGGGAATCGAACCCGGGTTCAAAATTGATTTCTAATCCTTGGTCTATAACTAATGTTGACAGTGTGTTGGTTGGGCCTGTTTTTCAGCTGATCTAACCTGACCCAATTAATATATCTTTTTTATCTCGATTTTATTCAATTTAAATTTAGAAAAATTTTATCCCATTTAAAATTTGACTTAAGTTTTAAGATTAAAAACTTAAAAAAATAAAACAATAAAATTTAAAAATATTATAAGTGAATTTGTTTTTGAAGAATGCATGTACTGAAAAATATTTTAGAATCTATATCATTTATGACAGTACGTGTAAAATTTGTTATGAGAAAATGACAAATATTAAAAAAAGTATAACTTATTATATAAATTGGAGGAAAATTATATGGAATTCGTTTATACTCATGATAAATTTCAATTATTTATTATTTATTATAATGAGTTTCACGTATATGATAACAAATTGTATAGATTTCAAATTAATACTCAAACATTTACATTTCTTCATTTTTTCTCCCCTGGATTATTTGACCAATGAAGTTTATAAAGAGGAGTATTTTATAAATTATCTTTTTCTATTGTTCTTCTAGTTCTCTAGAGTTTTGTTTTGATTAATTCAAATTGATTCATATCTCTCACTCGATTTTAGTGGATGAGTCTTTCTGCAAGAATTTTTTACAAAAAAAAAATATTACTATACTATATAAGGTTTGACCGAAAATTTTTATCTTAAACTCGAATCTAAAATCGACCCAATCTTTTACAAAATTCGACCCACCTCAATCTGAAATCAACTTTTTAGGGTAAATTACACAAATGATCACTAATGTTTGAGTAAGTTTTCATTCACCCCAATGAAGTTTCAAAAGTAACAAATTGGCCACTGACATTATTGATTTATAACAAATCGATCATTGACATTATTGATTTTTAACAAATCGATCACTCGTTGTTAACGATTGTTGCTACAGTAACATAATGCGGGCGTAGTACGTTAAACAAACTGACTTAGCATGTTTGACCATGTGGGACACCCTTTGACTCTTATCTTCTTCTTCTTTGCTGATGTATCTCTTGGTTCTTTCATTGTTGAAATGATGATTGTTTTTTATTTATTTTGTACTGATTTTTTATGCTCCTACCGCATCGATGGCTCTCGTAACAGCATGTTTCACTTGCATGGACTCCAACGTCTCAACCTCGCTCCCAATAATTTCTACGGTGCTATCCCATCAGAGTTATTTACTCAATTGGTGAGTTTAACTCATCTTAATCTCTCTTTTTCTAACTTCTTTGGTCAAATCCCAAGTCAAATCAGTCTCCTGTCGAGTTCGGTTTCACTTGATCTTTCCTCTTATTCTTTTTCCAACTTAACATTTATGGCTGAGGTTTTGACATGCTTGCAACAAATTTAACCAAATTAAGATACCTTATGCTTGATTGTGTAGATATTTTGACGTTGCAATCACTTCCATTCTGAACTCAACTTCATCACTACAACATTTGAGCTTCACCATATGTGAATTACATGGGGAATTTCCATCTCAAGCTTTTCAGCTTCCAAACCTCAAACTTATTAGGTTTCAGTCTCAAAGGTTATCTCCCTAAGACAAACTGGAGTCGTTCGACCTTTCTTATTGTGGTGGTTTTAGAGGGTTGATTCCATCACCATTCATAAATCTCACTCGAATTGCTTCCATACATTTATCTGAAAATTTGTTTGAAGGAAAGATTCCAGATGTTTTTGGAAACCTTATCAAATTAACTTCCTTGAGAATTTTTCGCTGCAATTTGAGTGGTCCACTTCCAATAACCATGTTCAACCTCCCAAAAATTATCACTATGGATTTGTCACATAATCACTTGGAAGTTCCCTTTCCAAATCATGTTAGTGGTTGGCTGTTTACTCTGCCATCTCTGCTAGATTTAGACCTCGGTCATAACAAACTAGCCGGTCCCATAAACCAAATTCAGATACCTAGTTCTGTCCAACATGTTCATATGAGTTCTAATGACTTTCATGGTCCACTACCCCATTCTATTTTTTATTTTGTCAATCTTACTTCACTTCGTTTGTCACTTGAATGGTGTCATCGAGTCAGATATGCTTTCGAAACTCACTACTCTTCAGTTTCTTAATCTTTCCAAAAATAGTTTGCTATCATTAAGCACAAGCGGTAATGATGTGAACCATTCCTTCCCCCGTCTTGCAACTGTGTTGTTATCCTCTTGTAGCGCAAGTCGGTACCCGAATTTCTTTAGAACCTCGAAGTTAGAGGTTTTAGATCTTTCCAAGAACATGATTTCTGGTGGAATTTCTAAATGGGGGGCTCAAGGGTGGGAAGCACTGCAAGTGTTGAACCTTTCTCATAACTCTCTCACCACTTTGGAGCAATTTCCATGAAAAAAAAAGGGAACTTCTCGACCTTCGTTCCAATTTGCTTGAAGGGTCAATTCTATCAACTTGCTCGAATCTTCAAATTCCAGATATACGACAGTTGAGTGGGTTGTTAATTTCATATAATAAATTGACAGGAATTATCTCTTCTTCTGTTTGCAATTTGACTGTACTTCTAATTTTGGACCTGTCCAAAAGTAGTTTGAGTGGAACTATTCTGGAATGCCTTGGGAATTTCAGTTATAATCTCCGGTTGATAGATTTACATATGAGCAATTTGAATGCAAAGAAAAAAAGAAGAAGAAGAACGGTCGGTCAAAGAGTGTCCTGCATGGTCAAACATGCTAAGTCAGGTGGTTTAATGTGCCACCCAATTTGTTGTTTTTGAAATTTATGTAGGAAAAACGAAAAATTACACAAACATTAATGACCATTTGTATACTTTACCCTTTTTTACTGGCCCGGGTTTAGTTTCTGTTTTGTGCGTGTTTCTCTAAAAGAATTTTCTTTGGGTTTTGAGATCTAAGGAGTGTAAGAAGCTGTTTTTAGATTTTATTCCCTTTATGGATTCAGTTTCCGAGTGAAAACTACAGTCTGAGTCACTTTACCCTGAGTTCAATTCAGATTATTAAAAGAGTTTCGGAGTTTTCTAGTTATGGAATTCAGTTCGTACAGGTTATGCCGTCGTTCGTCACTGAAGTTGGACCACGTTACTATGGACGAAGAAGAAGATTTAGGGTTTGGGTTCGTTAGATACTCACACGGATTGGGGAGGAAAAGGGTTGGATCTTTTCCTCTCGATACTTCGACCGCATTAAAAAGGCAATGCAGTGAAAGAACGATGATGATTGATGATTATAATCGAAAAGCAGCCATTGAATCGCTTCCACAAGATGTTCTCGTAAGCACTGAAACCCCCCCCCCCCCCAAAGTTTCTATTTATGGAATCTGGTTGGTGATTGGGATAAATTTTTTACCCCTTTTTGTTTCTGTTTTTTTTTTCAGATTAGGGTTATTTGTGGTGTGGATTATGATGATTTGAAGCAACTGTTTAATGTGTCTAAATCAATCAGAGAAGCTGTGAGTACATTAATGCATGGTTTAATTCTGATTATACACAAAATTCTTGCTTGATTTTGATTTTTGACAATGTTTTGCAGACTGTGATTGCAAAGAAGTTGCATTTTGCCTATAGCACACCAACAAAGGTGAAGGCTTTTAGAACATTGCTCGATTCGGAATTCGACGGCGTCGAAGCTCCAAATGCACCAATGCAATGGCGGACTCACAGGTCAATTGACAAGAAGAAACTGGCTGATATATCAATATCATTGTTTGCTTGACACATACACATACAAAAGGGTAAATAGCATGTCTGGTGTATGTACACGTTAGATTCCTCAGATTCATATGATAGAAAGTGTTTGGAAGATGAGAATAAAACAAGCAAAGGGGTGACCTTTGATCAGCTCTTTCTGTATAGTGAAGTTACAAAAGAAGATGCAGATTCCATTGATTGATGCGTGTTTTTCCAGGCATGGTTTTGTGGAATCTATTTGATCTTTAAGCGTAAGATAATTTGTCTTCTCCTAAATTTTGGGTCGTAACTCCAAAAACCTGTCTTCCTGTTTTACCTTCCAATTCAGTCTGATCCCCATGGACCAATTTAAATCATGTCAGAACCCACTGAATCAACGAAGAACCTAAGCCTAGTCTAAACGAAGCAATATGAGCCCAAGCCTACTTGTATGTTGGTTTCAAAGAACAGAATAGAACATAGATGATACAATATAGGTTAATACAAGCATTGATCAAGCAAGCAACAATGAAAGCACACATGTATGAACATCACAAATATGTAAGTGTGTCTTGTATGGAAGCTTGCATTGGTCACATAAAGTAATTATCAAAAATCCCTTTGTGATCAACGATATTTTGATTTTTGACCTTATCAATAACGGAATATTTCACTAAAAAGGGTGAGAAGAGAAAGTAACTCAAGGCTGCAAATTCATATTTTGTTTTCCACTTTCAATCATAACCCTGCATTATTTTTTCTTTCAAGTCAAGCCAGGTAGACCCTAAACTTTAGTAGGAGATAGAGTTAGGTTCCTGAGATTTGATACTAAAAAGAAAGCAGATATGAATAATAAATTAATAATATTCAATCCGAAGGGCCATTATGCATTTAAATGAACTTGTAATCTCTAAGAATATATAAGAGTAACGATATCAATCGAACTAACACTCAATCAGTTCAAGATCAAAATTTTAGAAATAACAACACGAAGAGAAAGTTGATCAAAATAAAAAGGTGGGTTTGATAAGTATTTTCCACCAAGTGTGGTTTTCTCCAAGGCAATGCTTTTGGGAATACCTTACTTTTTAACACATACCACGTGCATGGTAAGCAAAAGAAATGGATGGGGTATTTATCAGGAGAGACACCCACGCCTACTGGTGGTGCTGCTGGTCCAGGTCCAGTTAACTAATGCTTAAAGGCTCTTTTTCAATTTATAGATGTGCAAGGCAAGGGAACAGATGCTAAAGGCAACAGCTTGGACCATCCCACTCCTTTGTGGTTGCCCAGTCTCATTCTCAATATTTGGTAAAAGCATTATAGTGCAAAGTGTATTCTTATTTTCCGCATAAATTTATGTATTTTTATTGTTTTGCAATTATTTTCTTACCATTATCCGTAATATAATTTAATTTCCCTTTCAGATAAAGGAAAAAAGATTAAGAAAAACAAACCATGACGGGAAATGAAAAGCAAAGATGACCAAGAAGGTGAATGAATGAGGGAGAAAAGGAAGAAATAATTGTGGGAATGTATCACAGTCCCCACAAAACCAATATGTTCAACAATTGTTTTGATATATTGCTTCAACTTCTATTAATTTATTAATTTTCTTTTGTTATTGATGTTTTTCATTTTATAATTTATGTTAAAATTTTATGTTTTATTAATAATATTATTTATAGAGTTTGAATTTATATTTAAAAAAATGTATTGTATATTATCATTGCAACAAAAAATTATTAATAATTCATCGATGAATCAAACCATATTTTGATTTTTTTTTATGAATATAGGTTACAATTATAATTACAACTAATGCATCCATATTGATATAGTCTGAATTAATTAATACATTGCATAAATGATTTACAATTGTAGTTAATGTATTTATATTAATCAACATCAATCATTAAAAACAATTTGATAGTTGAAATATATCTAATTTTACTAAAATTATTATTTTAATGTATTCACAAATGTCAGGGTTTGAACTTTAAACCCATAATTTTATTTAAGAAATCTAATACTTCATCCAATTATAACAACTGATTATTGATTAACATAATTTTTAAATAGATTCACATATATAATGAGACTTAAATTAAAATAAACTTATATAATAATTTTATGATATTTATGCATGATAAACCTCACTTTAACACTAAAGATCCAAAGGCCTCGACTAAATCATTGAACACCAATAAATAATCAACCAAATCTTTCAAATTTAATGCGTGTTTATACAAGACAAAGAGGACATGGTATTAAACTCATGTTTAATATCTTAAATCATATCATTAATCATCTTTTTAATAATGATATTAAAAGATCTTTTGTCCGATTACTACAAAATAATGATTGTAATCTTATTATAAAATTTAATGATCAAAATGATCATTTAAATATGATTCAATGACTTTTGGTGAATTTTACCCAATATATAATGGGTTAATGGAACAATGGTCATCTCGGTAATTGCACATTCCCACCAATACTTTCCTTATATTCCCATCCCATGCCTTATTTTCACGCGCACTCTTCACAAAGAATTTACACTTTTAAACCTCCTCCCCCATTGAATTTTCTATAATTTTTCATTTTTATGGAAGAATTTGAGAATGTTAATCCTTGGGGTTGTATGAAATCGATTGAAATCGTCACTACAATGGTTTCTCCATCAAAAACAATCACCAACAATCCACTTTTCTCTTGCATCATCACTCTTTCCATTTTGATTCTTCTTTATTTTCCCCATAGATTTTCCCTCCTTTTCTCTCCGGTCCTCGTTTTGACAGTTTCCCTCTTGCTTTCCCTCCTTCGTCTCGGCGCATCACAGAGAATCCAAACGGGAAAAATAGAAAAAGGAAGCGTGGCGAGAGTCGAAGAGCTTGAAGAAGAAGAAGAAGAAGAAGAAGAAGCACCGGTGGAGCTCAAATGGGCAACATGTAAAAACGACCCAGACCTTATAATGCAGAGCTTCGAAGAAACGTTCGTCGAATGGGACGTGAGAGCTCCTTTAGAAGTTATATACGAAGAAGGAGAAGAAGAGGGGAAGGATCCGAATTTGAATTTGGATCAGACCCGTGGCATCGAGAGGTACCCGTCGTTGTCGCTTTACGACCCGGAATCGGATTCGGATAGCTCATCGGAGGAGGAAATGGATTTTCCGGCGATCGGAAAATGGAATTCGTCGGAGAAGATGGGTTATCGATGGGAAGAGGAAGATAAAGAAGGGTTGATTGAGATAGAACTCAATAAGAGAGATGTTGATTTTCATGGAGAAGATGATAATTTGATAGAAATTGATATTTATTGAAGAGTTTAACTATTGCTAATGTTGCATTAATCAAAAGGATTAAGCTTCTTTATTGGATTTTGGTGTACGATAATCACATAAAGTTTGAAGATATGTGAAATCGAACCAGTTTTGAAAGATGTGGGATTTTTTTCCGATGATTACCGTTTTGTGTAATATCGTTGTTAAAGTACAATTAGTCCCTAAACCCCAGAGTTTTGATTGGGTAATGAGACGACATCAACAGACTATTTATGTGCTTTTCTTTTTCCTGCCTTTCTTGTATACGTCTTCAAAGTCTATCTAAGGAAACGATCAAAATTCTAAAATACAACTTATTAAAAATAGTAAAGATTAAAGGTTGAACGAAATCGAAAATATTATTAAAAACACAATATTTTAGGTTGGATATAACTTGAAATATTACCTCTTTATAATATTTTTAGTTGCAATATAAAATGTTATATTCTTTCTAATATTTTCGATTGACAACTGAAAATGTTATATTTTTCATTATAACATTTTCGGTTGTAAGCTCTAAACTCCTTACAATGTAAAATTTCGGTTACAAGAGAAAATGTTATAAATTTATACAAGTTTTTTAGGTTGGACATGATTGTTTCAGATTGAAAATCATCTTAAATTAATCTTAATTTTAGGTTATATCACATAACTATTGAAGAAATCATGAACATTGAGATGATAAAAGAAGTGACATGAATTATATAATGTAAAATTTGAACATCAATGTTTGTTTGAATAATTAATTTATTTTTATTTTCTAAGAATTTTGTTTCTTAACATTTTATTTTAAAATAAATTAATTTATATTTAAATAAAATTCGTTAATTAACTAACTATCGATATTTTTTTTGATCATGTGGATACGATTAGATTGCAATATTAAGGTGTCATATTTATGTGTGAAAAAATGATAATATTATACGTAACGCAAATAAAAAGAAAATATATGTTTTTTAAAATAATGATGTGGTATGTCACGTTAATTTAATCTGTTGATTTGATGTTATATGAAAAAAATATAATATTTATGTTAAGATATAGATATTGATTGTGAGTTTTAAATTTTATGCTATCATTTTTCAAACCTCGTCTTTAAAATTTATTATCTTAAACCTTAAATATAGGTAAACTTTTATTATTGTGGACTACCATTTATTATCAGTGTCGCCCATGTAACCATGCTGCTCCCTTTTTCCTCTCCCTCAGACCTTTAGCCGGTGTCACGGGCACTGATGGAGGCGTGAGGAGGCATGATTTTACAGACGAAGGTGAAGGGGCAATCAAGGCGAGGCTCAACAAAGGGTGGTGAAGAACACTGCTCAGATTTCAGTTGGTATCAAAGGTATCGACGAGGGCATGCGAAGACCTAATTTTACAGATAACGTTGAAGGTGTTGTTAAAACGAGGCTCGATATATGTCAGTGAGGTTATTAGGGTTTTTGAATCAGTTGTTAGACATTCAACGACACACAAAAGACGATTCAAAATTTTGTAGGCAACATCAAAAAATTGACGAAGTTTAAGGTTTAGAGTAATAAATTTAAAAGAATGAATTTGAAATTTGATTTAGAGTTTTAGAACCCTCAATATACATATATTTGTTGTTCCGATTTTTAAGATTTTGTCATGATTAATCTAGATCGACTCGTGTTGTACATCTAATTTTAGTGGGTGAATCTACTAATGAATGATTACTAAGCTCGAGTTCAATTCTACCTATTCTGCTTAATTTGTATTATTCACAATATAAAAATTTAAATTTATAATTTTTAAAAAAAATTAATGTCTAATTTCTCTAAATCAATTTATTGTTGATATATTTTTTGAAAACTAAAATATTCATTGTGAATAATAACAACTAATCTCAGTACCACAACTGCTCTTCGAATATACAAACGACTGACCCATAATACAATATGTGGCCCAATTGAAATTTCATCAACGGGCCTAATAAAAGTACGGCCGAGTTTTGACTAGCTCTCTGAACCAAGCCGTGGTAATATACAAAAATCTTGTCACACGTGTGGCCTTTAGCCTGCTTCCCAATTTTTTGCATGACGTACGACGAATACTAACTGCCAAACAGAAACGATTCCCATTTTCTCTCCTTCGCCAACTCTTTGTTTCCATTACTGCTGCTGATCTAAGGAGCTAAGAAAATGAGAAGCTTCAATTTCTTCGGTAGATTTTATAGCTCTTTCCATGACTACCCTTCTCTTTCCAAAATCATCGCCGTCTGTACAGTCAGGTGCTATGCTGTGCTCAAATCATTTCTACTAATCTGTTGTTTTTTTTATTTAAATTAATTTATTCATTTCTATTAGGTGAGACGAGACAGATCTTGAGCTACATAAGATCAACTTAGTGAAAGCTCGATAAATACTCAATTCGAGCTTAACTCGAGTTCTTAACAAATCGAAACGAATTACTTGATATTTGACTCGAAAAGTTCACGAGCAACTCGAAAAAATAATATATTATTTTTAAAAAAAATATATATATTATTAATAATAATAACATTTATGTGTTGATTTTAAAAAATTGTAGTATAATATTTTCATATACTTAAGGTTCAGGTTCGAGTTTGAGTTTCATCCGAGTTAAGTTTAAGATTTTTTTTATTTTGAGTTTTTTCGAGCTTCAATTCATGATTTCGAATTTAAAAATTTTAGGTTCACGAATTTTAAAATTTTCGAATCAAATTGAACTCAATAATACTCTAACTCGACTGAACTCGTTTACACCCCTATTGATGTGTTTATTATTTTGTTCCTTTCTTTCAATTTACTATTTCTCGTCATTGTCTCGTATAAAATATCTAAGACCACACAACGAAACGTTGGTGATGGTGGATGCATCATGCACTTCTTCGCTGTCTTGCTTGTAAAACATATATCATCCCATGCTTTGTATGCCTTCATGATATAGCTGTCTTTTCTTCTTCTTTCGTTTTGGGTTTTGTTTTAAATCATTATCTTCTTCTTCTTCTTCTTCTCTCATTAATCATGTATCCTACTTCCATGGAATCTTTACAGCTTACTGGTTTGCTTACTTTGTCAGAGAATAACTCGAAAACTGAAACTTTGCAACTGCAAAATGGATAGAATAACAACTTGATCATCTAGGGACCAAAACTTACATCTATTTTATTTACTCTCCGTGTGCTGTAAACATTCGTGGTCAAACACAAAGCACAAGGACTCCATTTGAAGCTTTTAACCCCATTTTTAATATTGAACCGGGTCGAATCAAGCTAGGTTGTTTCTATGAGAAAAGGTTAACGTACATCATAAGTTACTTAGCTATATCAAAATGATCTTTTCAGCCATCTAATTTTTAATTTTTATAAATGATCATTATACTTTTTAAATCATTACAAAATGATCCATGAAACATTATATGTGTGTGTCAGATCGAATCGAACCGAAAGGAATGTAGATTTTTATCTTACAACCATATTGAATTATGGGTCAAGTTAAACCATTCAAAATTCAAATCAAATTGTATTATAAATGAAGGGATAAACCTATATTCATCCCTTATACGGACACCGAAGGTTTCATTGGCAACTTGCCATTAAATATGAAATAGGTATCCTTTGTTGGCCTGTTGTTTTTGTTTGTCACCTTAAAAACAGGTGGACTAGCACAGAGAATCATATAAATTAATAGCATTGACGAGGACATGCACATTAATAATTAAATTAATTATTATAGTAATTATGTTAATAATTAATAAACCAGCAAAGCATTATCATGGTGGAAGAATGAGTTGCGTGGAAGAATGAGTTGCGGCGCAAATGGATGTCGTTTGTAAATTGCAGAATCTGGACGTTATCATTAACGTATTTTAATTTATGTAGTAATACTAATAATAATAACTTATTTTTTTAATATTGAAAAAAACAAAGAAAAGATTAATTTTATCATACATCCTAAAATTATGATTTAAATTTTAAATTGATTATTAAATTTTCAAAATACTATAACTAAATTCTTAAAACATCAATATCATATCAATTAAATCATTCTGTCAAATTAACTCGATCCAGCAGGAGTATATATAAAGCACTTAGATAAAATTTCAAACACATATACCCGTGTAATAGCTAGTCACGTATGTAAAATTTGATCAACATTTTTAAATATGCTTCAAGTCATATTCTAACTGGTATTTAACATCCAAACAAATGATCATGTTGATGGAAACCCTTGATTAATATGATATCAATACTTTAATAACTCAATTAAATACTCATCAAGTGAGCTTAATAGTAAAGGAAATGTTGTTTTTCCTATACATACTGACTTTGAGTAGCTGTATCTGCAAGACGTGTGTTATTAATATATTAAGAAAGTTCTGAACAAATAATACTTTATAATCCTATCATATTGTTAAAAAAATAAACTCAATTAAATATTTCAAAATATAAGAATTATTTTAAAACCTAATAACATGATTTAGGAACATAAAATGAAATAAACTTAAAAATAATAAAAAGTTGCAAAGAAATCCAGAAGGGATGGCAACGAATATATCATAATCTTATTTGTCTATTGTATGGAATCGGCCGTTGGTTGCTCTTTAGACTTTTATTACAAAAGAAACAATTTTTTCTTATTTTCACACTGTTAAATGAATAAATAAAAATTAATAATGATAATGAAAGCTGAGTAGCAAGAAAGACTTGAAGACTTAAAAAATAAAAGATAAAGTAATAATTGAAAATAAAAATAAATGAAGGTATGGTGTTGACAATTGAAAAAGACATATGAAAAAGGCTAAGGTTTGTGTTATCTGTCTGGCTCCTGCGTTCAGCCCATATTTTATTGGGAGACAATTCAATTAAACCCCATTTCCAATTTAGCCCTTTATTTATTATTATTGTTTACGAATGCTTTGGTTGACTTTATTTTTATTTTGGTCCAATTGAATTATGAGATGGTATTAAATTATGGTATAGTTGTTGACTTTGGAAGTAGATATTTTGCATTTGGAGCTCTCTTTTTTCTATCGTTCTTGTCCATGTGCTTTGAATGGATTAAGAAATACTTCATGTATTTTTTTAAAAATTTTATATGTTTTAATGTTTATTAAATCTTATTTTATATATTTTATATTTTATAAAATTTTTAAAAATTAATATTATTAAGATAAAATTATGCGTCTCTCTCACAAATATATTCTTATGATAAACCTGTTTGACAATTTTAGTATCTTTTTACAGCGAGATATTGGGAATGCGGTTCGCAGTTTCTGCGTTGTGGGCCAAAATCCCTGCACTGCATACCATCGTCACCACCACTATGCAATCTTTATCCCATGAGAAACGGAGATTGCATTCACCCTTCCCTATTTTGTTCACCTTGGAATTCAACGCATTTAGTGAAGTTGCGATTTGTTTTTATTACATTAAATTTATATATTAAATGTAATTTTCTAATTATATCTAAAAACTACATATATCTTTGATTTAAATTATCCATCAATTAAAATTTTATATAAAAAATGATAATCAAACGAATCTTTAATTAAAAAGACATGATCAAAAGAGCCCTTATTTGATGTTTCAAGTAACTCCGTGATTTATTTAATCACAAATTATTAATAAAATTCAGTTTGGTTAATGATTTAAATTAAATGTTTATTTAATTTTTTGGTACAATTAAAAGGACTGTTTTATATAAAAACCTTTAAACTGGAATCCCACGTATAAAATACGTGTGAATGGAAAGCAAGTAGGAATAGTATCCGAAATCCAAACTATGCATGTGTGAAACGGAGTAGTATATGGTCACTCGGGTCCCAGGCAGCCTCCTAAGGTCCCCCCCCCCCCAATTCGCACGAGTTGACTCACCATTTTTACTAAAAACAAAATCCATCATATTCGTATACAACTAATATGCATTTGAGTCAAACATGTTGGGAAGCAATTTGAGGTATGAAATGGCAATAATCTAATAGTATTATAAAAATTTATGTGTATTTTAAGAAAATAATTTGCATAGTACTATTATATTAGTAATATATTAATTTATCATAGATGTTAAGAAATTAAGAAGATATGAAAAAGAATCAAAATATTTCTTAAATCATAATATTTTGCCTACTCGTATTCGATAATAACACCATACGTGTTGGATTTCATCTTTTATTTTTATTTTAATAATTTTATTTGTTAATCTAAATAATCTCGATTAAATGCTAAATACATTTCATATTTTTCATGTATAAGTGGTATTTAATTTATTATATAAAGAATAAATTTGAGGATAAATATTAATGATAATATAAAGAAATTGAAGAATTGACGAGAATAAAGTATTTGTAAAGAGTTACATTCAAAAGATCAAATTGAATAAAACATAAAGTTTAGGGATTAAATTACAAAAAGAGAAAATTTATTTTTTAAAAAAAATTAAGTTACAAAAAGAGAAAATTATTAATTAAAGATCAAACTATATCGTTTTAATTTTTAGTTGTTTTGGTTATTCAAACTCAAAATTCGAACTAAAAATTTAAATTTACTTAAATAACTTAAAATTAAAAATAAAATAACATTTTAATCGAATTGCATTTTGTTCTCCCTTTATACGTTAAAATCTGGGGCGATACTACATCCAAGTAGCGATCCTCCCCCCCCCCCTCCTCCAAAATAAAATTTTAGTTTGATCCCCTAAAAGTTGTCAGTTTGTAAACTAGTATAGTGACTGCAAAAATTATAATTCAGTTCTAGCTCATTCTAAAGAAGTTGTTGGCTTTCCCCTAGTTGGAAGAGTATTTTCATTTTAACTAACTAATGATATTATAAGAGTAGAAGATTAAATTATGCCAATTAAAATAAAGTACGATGATAAAACTCCAAATTTTGAACATAGTAAAAGGACTAAAACCAGAATTTGACCTCTAAATTAAAACCTTGATTTAGAAACCTTTTCGGATTCACATGAAGCTCAAATGAAACTATTAGTAATTCATGGGAATTGTTTACTATGTTTACAAATATAATATAAATTAGACCGTTGGGGAAATATTTTCTTTTTATTTGTTTAAATCCTACGTATTAAGAAAATTAACTAATTTAAACTTACTGATTAATAATGAAGAAATATATATTTTATGACAGCTCAAGTCTACCCCTTAAGAAAAAAAATGAAACAATATGAATCTTTATTTTTTCTCTCTATATAAACAACTAACATTCTGTTCCAATACCTCCATCTTCTTCCTCTTTTGTTCGTTTCTCAGCAATTGAAGTAGACAGTAAGATCGAAAATGCCGGCCGTGGGAGGAATCGGTCCGGGTACCGGCAAGGAGTACCCGGGTAACCTCACCCCATACGTCATGGTAACGTGTATAGTAGCGGCCATGGGAGGTTTGATTTTCGGTTATGATATCGGTATCTCAGGTAACATAATCAATAAATCAGACGACGATGCATAGAATTATACACTGTCAGTTCGATATTAACTTTTTATATATATATATATAGGCGGTGTGACGACAATGACTCCGTTTTTAAAAAGGTTTTTCCGAAGTGTTTGGGAGAAGAAGGAAGCCGATAAATCGAAGAATCAGTATTGCCAATACGACAGCCAAACGCTGACGATGTTCACGTCGTCGCTGTATTTGGCTGCTCTGTTGTCTTCCATTGTAGCCTCCACTGTCACCCGTAAGCTGGGGAGGAAACTGTCGATGCTCTTCGGCGGTTTGCTCTTCTTCGCCGGAGCTCTCATTAACGGCTTTGCTAAAGCCGTTTGGATGTTGATCGTCGGCCGGATATTGCTCGGTTTCGGTATAGGATTCGCCAATCAGGTAAATCATTTCATATGCTGACAAGCAAGTTTGCTCCAAACTCTCTGCTGGTTTTTTGTGTCTAATTATGCTTTGACTTCCTATGCTCTTTAGATATTTGAATTTTAGTCCTTCTGCTTGTAACTATGGGAATTTAGTGTCTTTATTTGTCTGATTTAAAAATTAGAGTTCGATTGATAACATTGTTAACCGGATTTTGTTAAATTTGAATGAGTTATCAAATATTTGACTATTAAAATATCATATTTAAATTTAATAGTAGTGGTCTGCTCACCCATATGAGTTGTTTCAGTTGATCAACTACTCATTAGCACCTTGATAAAAATCAAGATTCGTATCTCTTTAGCAACCCTCAAATGGCATAAACAAACAGCGTAATCAATCGGGCTTTAGGTATCAAACTAGACAAATGGATGGATTAAATTCTTGAAATTAGAAAGTAAAGAGACTAAATTTTAAAAGGTCAAAAGTACAATGACTGAAAGTAGAATTAAACCATGTTTACTAATTTTCTTTAAGCTTGCATTACTTTAGATCTCTATAACTTAGAAGTCAGCAACAAGTCATCGTGTCTGTAGAAGTATAATAAATCATTCAATGTTTATGTTTTAATAACTCTTTAGTTAATTTAGCGAGTTAAAACGTTGAATTTTGTAATCTACGTCTTATATTTTAATATTACAAATGAAAAAATTGAATTGAAAGTTCATCTCACAATAATTTTATATAATATTCCATATAAATTAATCAAATAATAAATTAAATTCTAATATTTATAAAAAAATAATTATATTTTCACTATCATTACTACAGCATACTTTTCTTGGTCAGACATGGGTTGTTTTTCTTTGCGTGACAGTTCTTTCGGCTAAAGTTTACGCCTTGATGATACGGGCGTTGAATAAAAAAACAATAATTGGAATAAAATTGTCGTTGTTTTCTACAGACTACAAGCATGACATTGATGTGTTTTACAATGAAACCTATTTCTGTTTTATTTAATGCAATTTGCACATTAGCAACTTGACAAAGCCAAGTGGTCCCTGAGAAGGACTTTCTTTTAGCTTTGCTTCCCTCCTCAATTATTAATTCTTATTAATATATTTTTTAATAAGTAATTACCTCACACATTTTAAAATATATTTCAAATTGAATATTGAAAATATCAAATTATATCAATTAGTTTTTTTTCGTCTGCTTGTCTACTCCCTTGATGGTAAAACGTCAGCTCAAATGTGGAGTATATTGTTAACATGTATACATGATGAGTTAAACAAATGGTTGTTCTAAATTTTATTAATAAACAAGGAAGGAATTAGAAAATCTTATTAAGAACGAATGAAAGTAATATTCAAATTTTAAAGGTTTTAAATTGAAATTTAAACATTTATTAAATATAGATTGTTCATGCATTATGTATTTTTAATTTGATTCACATGATTTCAAATCGGTTGCATTTCTTATTTAAATTGACATTTAGCGTCTAGTTTGACGTTTAGGCTAAGGGAAAGATTTAAATTCTGGGACTAATTTAGAATTAGAGAAATAGTTCAGTGACAAATGATACATTAACCCTTTGTTTATTTCAAAATTTGACATTTTTCTTGGGTTAATTATTACAGTCTGTGCCACTCTACCTCTCGGAAATGGCCCCATACAGATTCAGAGGAGCATTGAACATAGGCTTCCAATTGTCAATCACAGTCGGTATTCTCATCGCCAACGTGCTGAATTACTTCTTCGCCAAGATCAAAGGCGGCTGGGGGTGGCGCCTGAGCTTGGGCGGCGCAATGGTTCCCGCCTTAATCATCACCGTCGGCTCTTTAGTCCTCCCCGACACCCCGAACTCGATGATCGAACGTGGCCAAACCGAGGAAGCCAAAGCCAAGCTCAAGAGAATCCGTGGTGTCGACGACGTCGAAGAGGAATTTAGGGACCTCGTCGCTGCCAGCGAAACATCGAAGCTCATCGAGCATCCATGGAGGAACTTGTTGCAGAGGAAGTACAGGCCACATATAACGATGGCGATCCTCATTCCCTTCTTTCAACAACTGACTGGCATCAATGTGATTATGTTTTACGCTCCTGTTTTATTCAGCACCATCGGTTTCAAAGACGATTCCGCCCTCATGTCCGCCGTGATTACCGGTGTTGTTAACGTTGGTGCCACGGTTGTTTCAATCTATGGGGTTGATAAGTGGGGAAGGAGATTCCTTTTCCTTGAGGGTGGTGTTCAAATGTTGATCTGCCAGGTACTTGAAAGATTTCGTTTAACAATTCATTGGTCAGGTTCAATTCAGGTTTAGATTATTTTAAATTTAAAACGTAGACATATTTTATCATATAACTAGATTGAATTTGAATTTCTGATAGATCGAGGGGTCAGAGTTAAAACCTCACTATTGATGCTAAAATGCTCTTTGTTGTTTTTTCAGGCTGTTGTGGCAGCATGCATTGGTGCTAAGTTTGGAATCAACGGGAACCCTGGTGAGTTACCCAAATGGTATGCCATTGTTGTGGTGCTTTTCATCTGCATTTACGTGGCTGGATTCGCCTGGTCATGGGGACCGCTAGGATGGTTAGTCCCTAGTGAAATCTTCCCATTGGAAATCCGATCAGCCGCACAAAGCATCAACGTCTCTGTCAACATGCTCTTCACATTCGCGGTGGCTCAAGTGTTCTTAACCATGCTCTGCCACTTGAAATTTGGACTCTTCCTTTTCTTCGCTTTCTTCGTGCTAATAATGTCTGTATTTGTGTACTACTTCTTGCCGGAGACAAAGGGCATCCCGATCGAAGAGATGAGTCGAGTATGGAAGTCGCATTGGTATTGGTCCCGATTCGTTGAGGACCTCGATTACCCTAATGGAGGTATGGAGATGGGCAAAGGAGGGCAGGGTGTAAAGGATGTGTAAATCCCCTTGGATTTAAATTATCTTTTGTTGTAGCACATACTATTGATTTTCAATGTTGTTTCAGCCTTTTATTGAAGTATAAACAGATCAAAGATGAAACTGAAAATGAAGTGTTCATTTACCTTCACAAAAATAAAAGAAGCAAATATTGTTTTTGTTGGTTCTATTTTTCTCGGATCAATCCAATTTTACTCACTCTTAACTGAGAGTCTATAAAGCACTTCACCTTACATGACAAGATTCGAGGGGTAGAGGCAAAGAGACAATTACATAAAATTTCAATGACATGATAAACCAGTTTTCGGTCTAAACCGAGTCTAATTTTTCAACCTGTTGTCGAGCAAGGTATCTTTCTCGTCGCTCTTTCTACAGAACAGAAATCGACAGTCATGAGCATTGCGTGTGCCACAGAGGTAAAACATCAGCAAGCAAAATTTTCATCAGATGCTTACGAGAAACAGAAACTTACCCATTCATCTATGACAAGTCCTTCCCCAATAATCCTTGGACCTGCATCCTCTCGAGGCTTTCTGCCGGCCTCGAGAGCAACATCAGCTTCTGCTAACTGGTGGTTCAGTTTTTCTAGAGCCTTCATAAAAGCAAAGCAAAGTGTAAGCAAAGGCACATATAGCTGGATAAGATAGGATGGTGCTAACAGTACTTACCGGACCTGGGCGCAGAGGATCGAGAAAAACGACTTGTAATATTTGCTCTATTACCACTTGATCCTTCAGATCATGGAACTGAAAAAACCCGGAACCTAAGCACAATATAATATGAAGAATAATGTATATGGAAAAGCTAGTTCTATATTGACATTATAATATGAAGCACAACATGTCATTATGAAATTAGCTCAGTTAAACATCTAAATGCATCAATGGAATATGATGCACCAGCTCAGATACAAGAGAGAAGATGGAAATCACGAGTCATGTAATAAACACATAGTTTTATAGGAGATGGTCGACGCACCAGCTCGGATATGTAGTCCATTGGACCCTTCACCTTGAGACTCAAGATTTTGAACTTAACCTTGTTCTTCTCATCCATTGGTTTTTCATTGTTCTCCGGAGGCTCCACAAACTTGAAGACTAGTAGATAAATTCAGAACACGAAACAGATTTCATAAGAATCTTTACGAAAATATGAAGAACGTTCAAGAAACAAACCAGAAAGCATAAGACTGCGAAGAAACGATTACCTGTTGCTACGATGCTCTCACCAGGGGCAAGAAAGGCGCCCGGTGGGTGTAACACCCCCAACCCGTATCCGACCCGGATCCGATGTGTCACATTGACTTTTCAAAACTCTGTTCTTTACAAATCCGTAAAATCTTAAATTCGTCATTTAAGAAAATAAGTACTTTACATTAATAAATACAATCAAATTGTTTTACAAAACCGATCAGAGCATATTCAATTTAAATCTTGTAACTACATGCCAACTAAATTCTATATAACAAAATACATATATTCAATATGTTTCTGATCTGATCATTGTAAGGGAGATGCTAACTTGTCTTGTTCCTCTTTACTTCTATTCTCGCTTTCTAAACCTACGTGTAAAACATTCACACGCTAAGTCGATGACTTAGTAAGACATGTAAATACATATATAAACGAACAAATGTATGCACGTATCATGCAAACTAACATCATACCTAAACCATCATTAACCTGCTTATCCTTACTTATTTTATCATCACTAATTCCTTTCTATCAAATGAGCATATACTTGACATAAACATATTTATATAACTTCTTAATCACCACCATGCATGAATAATTATTATTACCATATCATGCTCAAACATAACATCTCATATCACCAATCTTATTCATATTATCATATGATCCTGAAATTATCATTTGCACATATCATATAACACATATATCATTTCACAAGGAATACACATATTATCATAGCAAATTATTTATATTTAAAGCCCATGTACACATCTGAGAACTTAATGTATGTGAGTACATAGAGGTTGTGCACATATGCTGTCACCACAGCTCGTATAATTATCACTAGGGGCGCGTAGAATTTGTCCTAAAGGACCACTATGTCCCGAAGGACCACATAGAACACATATGTCCCGAAGGACCACATAGAACACATATGTCCCGAAGGACCTCGTAGAACACATATGTCCCGAAGGACCACGTAGAACACATATGTCCCGAAGGACCGCGTAGAACCATCGACTCTTGGCATGCCAACTATACCCGTATCTCTTATAACACATAACATGAGCATTATTATTTATTTTATCACACTTTCACATTTTCATATCATATACACATATAAGCTCATGGTTTCTTATCACATATATCATGTAAAACTCACTTGGAGTCTCATAACTTCTTATCACCTATCTAATATCACATGTCACATTGCTTATATCTTGTTCTCATATCTTCTCATGAACATATGAACACATAGATACTCATCACATAACTCATACCTCCTTTTTCACATATTTCATTAGTTTAGTATCTCATAAATTATATCATATTATCACGCAGTCACATATATCACCTAACATATATAGTTCATATCTTTTCATTTATCTTATATTTTATCCATTTATATTCATATAAATCACATACATGTAATACATACAAGGCATATTCACTCAGATATGTATTCACACATATCACATATAGAAATACACTTACCTTTATCACATGACTCATGTAACTTTTCATGCATATTCATTTAAAACATGTCACATAATGCATATGTTATAATACTCTGATCATGTTTCATAATATAAAATGAATCATGTATCAAGGTATTAAATCTAGACTTATCACAAGTCTAGAACTGAATATACTACTCTAATCATGCTATGCATATTCACTCACCTAGATTTCTTTGTCTTTCACTCGATCGATCTTACTTCCCAAATGTTCCGGAACTTGTTTAGGCTCAGTATCTACATAAATATGATTTCCAAGACGATTATCAGAAGCCTAAACCTTATAATTCAATGCTAATAAATTAAACTAATTTAATGAACCATAATTCATTTTTGAATTAAGTTTTTATTTTGAATTTTAAGCACCCATCATTTTTATTTTCTTATTTATTTATAAAAATTAATATAATTTCACTTCTTGTGAATTCCATCTTGTTAATTAATATTATAAAATTTATTTTTGGAGGTATCGAGACTTTTCGGTTAGAAATCTAAAAAGCTTTAGGTTCTAAAATAAAAAGGTTACTTATTTGTTAATTAAGCCATATATATACAAGATTAGGACATTATACGAGGCCGATGATTTTAAATCAGGAGAAGCTCCAAACGGGAGAAAATCCAGCAGCCCAGTCCAATATCACAATGTCCATTTCAAGCCCACGCCGCCCAATGCCCCACACGTGTGCCATGTCTTTGTGTACACCTCAGCAACAGCCACTGAAATCTCCCTTCCACTCAATACTCACCACCTAATCACAATTTCCCCGCCATTAATTCTCACTTCAATAACCACCACGATTCCCTCCATGGATCTTCATCTCCTCCGATCTTCTCCCGCCGTCCGATTCTTCCCCCGCCGCCCTTCCCCGCCGCCTCTCCGCAGACGGTTCTTCGCAGTTAGGTCTCTCGCTTTCTCTTGGAAGTTTTAATTTTTTTACTTCTTTAGTTGACTGATAGTATTTATTTATTTTATCCATTTCGCAAAATATGTCAGCTCGAGTCTTTCTTTTCGATACCTAGCGAGAAAGCTAAGTATCGCAAAGAAATTGAAGCGGCGGTGGAGGTCGTGGAGAGAGCTTGTAGTCTTTGCATCGATGTGAGTTTAAAATTTGAATATCTCGATTCCTATTCTTTTTCCATTGTTTGATTCAATCGTTTGCAGCGTGTTCTAATTCATTTCTTTAATCGTTTTTATTTATTTATTATATTTGAGTTATATATTTTTGTGATTGCAGGTGCAAAGGTCTCTGTTCTCTGATAAAGGAGGGATTCTGGAAAAGAATGACCAAACTCCAGTCACAGTGGCAGATTTTGGAGTTCAAGCTCTTGTTAGTTTAGGTTCTTTTTCCCCCGTTAATTTTGCTTTATTGAACATATTTCACTTTACTTTTGGAATTGAATTTGGCATATTGTGATCAGCTTTCTCTATTGTGGCATTCACCTTTAGAGTTAGCCTTTCCGTTTTCATTCTAATTTTCAGAAAAATATATATGATTTAGCAAGACATCCAAGACAATTGAAAAATAAAATGGTGTTTATTGTTGGATTAACAATGTAAGAAAGTTCATCTGATTAGATAATTGAAAGTATGCCTGTGTTGATTCTTTCCTTTTCACCTTAGAGTTGGGCAGATTGTTCCCTTCAATTCCATTGGTGGCAGAAGAGGACTCGGGTTATATACGTTCCAAAAATCTGGTGGATCCTATAGTAAGTGCAGTATGTGATAAAACGAGCTTCAAGGAGAAATCATTTCACATGCTGATGTGCTGGAAGCGATTGATAGAGGGGTAAAGAATGCCTTTGGAACAAAACCCGCCACTTATTGGGTAATGCCTTGGCTATCTACATAAGCTTGTCCGTAAACTACAGTTTTGACTTTTGTTGTTTAAAAATAAGATTTTCCAGGTACTGGATATGCACTTTTTGACATGGTTATGTCCCCAAACCTTATGCAGATACTGGATCCAATTGATGGCACAAGAGGGTTTGTAAAAGGAAGCAAGGCATTATATGTGGTATGTATGTTTCTGTTCAATAAAAATTTTCTTTTGAAATATTCTCTTAATGCCATGGAACACATTGTAAACTTATTCCGTCTAGCTCTGGGGAAAATACTGTCGTATTGTTATTGACTTCTTGGCCTGAATTTACTTGACAAATTTTACTGAGATTGGACAGGATTCAAGATAATTAACAATATTCTGTTACGCATGAATGATGCATTACATTCAGATGAAACATATGGTAGTGTATGCTTAAAAATTCTAAAAGATATAGTTCTATACATACAAGTTGAATCTTAAGTCAAATTTTACATTTCTGGTTTTGTCTCTCCCACCCACCCAAGCAATAGAAACGACTTTTAATAGTTTTTTTT